AAAGACATAAACACATATTGAGGTATCTCGCGCTCCACTCGTAGCAATCTTCTGGTGGCGACGGCGACGACCTGGCCAGCTCCAGCCGCCACGGGTGGAGGCGGTGCGTCCTGTCGTAGAGCTTGCAACCCCTCTGCTGCACGCACCGCCTGTCGACTGGGCCTGCCGCGGCCGCGCCGTCCAGGATCGGGACCGCACTCCATTCCATGCAGCGCACCCTCGTGCGCATCATATGGTGAAACTGTGGGGACAGGTGGTGAAACAACAGTTGCTTGGTTTGAGGCAAAATGGGTACGGAAGCGTTCGAACCCCATGGGGCTAAACAAATCGGGTGCGTTGCTCATCCCACCAGCCTTCTGGGCGTAGGTGGTTCAAGGAGCTTACTCTTCCAACCTCCTTCTTCCCCTTCGGGGAGGGGTTTACCCCTCCCCCTACCCCTTCCCCTGGACCTGGACGGGGGGGGGGGGCGCGAGCGGCCAGAGCGTCCAAGAAGTTACATTACGGCTCCAAGAGGGGCTCAGAGAGCCCAAGATGATTTCCAAGATGGTTCAAGATAGCTTACGGTGCCTCAACATGGTTCCGAAGCTGCCCCAAGAGACCCCACGACCGCTCCAAAACGGCTCCAAGAGGCCTCCGAGCTCGCCACGGAGATCCCGAAGACGCCAACATCCTTCAAACACCGAAGGAACGTCAATGTGTGTTTGCTTTCTCGCCTGTTTGCTTCCGATTGCCATCCGAGGCCTCAAGATGGTTCCAAGATGGCCCAAGAGGGCCCCGATAGAGGCCCACGAGAGCCCCAACCCAAGACGGCCCCAAGAGCGCCCAAGAGCGTTCCAAGAGCGCCCCGAGAGGGGCAAAATATGTGATGCTGGGCGCTCCCAAGGGGACGCGAATTTAGGAACCCGCCTTTTTTGACAAATCTCCTCCAATATGGCCCCAAGAGACGCCCAGGAGGCCCCACGAGGCTTCCAAGATGGCCCCAAGAGGCCCCCAAGAGGCCCCAAGAGGCCGCCAAGAGGCCCCCAGGAACCCCCCAAGAGGACCCCAAGCGGCCCCAGGAGCACCCCCCCCGAAGCACCCAAGACGTCCAAGAGGCCCCCTTGACCGCCAAGAGACCCCCAAGACGCCCGAAGAGGCTTCCAAAAGGCTTCCAAGAGACATCCGAGAGACATTCAAGATGCTTCTGGCTATTCTGCTGGTCCTCGTCCTCCTTCTCCTCCTCCTCCTCCCGCTCCTCCTCCTTCTCCTCCTCCCCCTCCTCCTCCCCCTCCTCGTTCTTCTCATCCTTCCCCTCCTTTCCCTCCTTCTCCTCATTATCCTCCTTCTCTTCCTTCTCCTCCTTGCTCGCCCTCCTCGTCCTCGCCCTTCCGACGACGACGATTCCTCCTCCATCTTCCCCCTCTTGGGGTATGTGACAGTTTCTTCCGCACTGTGTTGCTGGATGCCCCCCCCCGCTTCCCTGATGGCCTCAACTCTCCTGGACATCGTTTCTGGATGGGCTGGTGTTGGACGCGAAGCGTCGACAATTTGACAAACCCAGAAAAGCCACCATTGACCACCAAACACAACGCAACCGCCATGCAATCGCAGTTCAATCGCAATGCAACTGCAACGCGATCGCAACGACCATTGATGGACAAGTCACGTGGCTTGTGGGCAGCGCTGGTACATGTGACCAAACGCAACGCAATCGCAATGCAGCCGCTCGTGGCAGTTCAAAGGATAAACAGGGCTGTGATAATGTTGCCCTCGTTTGCAATGCACATACGCGTAGACATCACAAGCGACGACACCTGTACACGAACGTGGACATGATTCGTATACGCAGTCTCTTCGCGGACACTCTCTACACGTACTCTCCGCACGTACCCTTTTAACCTACTATCATCACGCCTACGGCTTCTGCGCGTGCAATCTTATCGTACGTACATCGATAACGACGTATAGCTAATGACACTGCTGTCACAACCCATGCCACCTGGAAGATGCCAAGCGGCTGCCCGCGCTCCCAATCAAAACGTCAACTCGAGTCGCAAACTTGCGTTTGCACAGGGAAATATTTCTGGAAACAACAACACATTGAAAACAACATCTTTTTCACAAGCAGCGACATCTTTTTGAAAAACGACGACATCGAAACGAGCACTTTTGCCATATATGGGGCAACATCTGCGCGAGCTGTTTTCGATAACTTTTCAGCTCGGAATATTCAACTCCAACATCCCTCGCTGTCCACGCTCGTACTTTCTTAACGCTGGGGACCACTGGGGGGCGCTGGGGAGGTCCCACAAGTGGTGGGGGGGAGGGGTGCGTCGCGAAAAATAAAATCGTCGGGGCGGAGGGGGCACTGGGCGCGGCGGGGGAGGCCCCTCTGGGGGTGCGCTGGGGACCACTGGGGGGCGCTGGAAAGGTCGCACTGGGGGGGGGGGGAGAGGGGTGCGTCGCGAAAAATAAAATCGTCGCGAAAAATAAAATCGTCGGGGCGGAGGGGGCACTGGGCGCGGCTGGGGAGGCCCCACTGGGGGGCGCTGGGGCCACTGGGGGGCGCTGGGGAGGTCCCACTGGGGGGGGAGGGGTGCGTCGCGAAAAATAAAATCGTCGGGGCGGAGGGGGCACTGGGCGCGGCTGGGGAGGCCCCACTGGGGGGCGCTGGGGACCACTGGGGAGCGCTGGGGAGGTCTGGGGGGGGGGGAAGGGTGCGTGGCGAAAAATAAAATCGTCGGGGCGGAGGGGGCACTGGGCGCGGAGGAGGCACTGGGCAGAGGTCCCACTGGAGGGCGCTGGGGACCACTGGGGGGCGCTGGGGAGGTCCCACTGGGGGGGCGCTGTGGGCAGAGGTCCCACTGGGGGGCGCTGGGGACCACTGGGGGGAGCTGGGGAGGTCCCACTGGGGGGCGCTGGGGAGGTCCCACTGGGGGAGGGGTGCGTCGCGAAAAATAAAACGGTCGGAGCTCTAGACACCCTGTGCAAGAGAATATATATATATATATATATATATATATATATATTCTCATACGCGCCTCTCCGAGGGAGTAGAGCTCAGAGGCGATTAATGCGCACGTCGTCCGCGATTTTTCTGGCCGTTTCGCTCTGGACATCCTCGAAATTCTGAAAATCGGTGACACCCCTCACGCAGATCGTGACATCAGGGTCCAAAAACACGTGGGAATTTCACCATTTTAACATAAAAAAATCGAAACCACATTGTAATTTCAATAATTTTGACCCCGATTCTCAGAGAATGGCGGTTTCGCCTGAAATATCCTCCCAAAATCGAACCCCGGACCCCTCCTCGGAGCCTCCTGGGGGCCTCCTGGAACCTCTTGGGGCCTCCTGGGGCTTTCTGGACCTTCTGGTACCCCAGACCCCGCCTCGGAGCCTCCTGGAGTTCTCCTGGGCCTGCTGAGGCCGCCTGGGGCCTCCTGGGGCCTCCTGGGGCTTCAGAACTACATGCACACACAGAGACACAAATCACGCCCAACACATCACACGCTAGACAAACATAACATACACACACACACACCGACAACACACAAAAAGCACGCACCACACAAAGCACACATCACACACACACACACACTCACAATCCTGGGGCCTCCTGGAGCCTCTTCTGGTATCCAAGTCGGGCCTCCTGAGGCTTCCTGGGGGGCCCTGGTACACACATCGCAAGGTGTGGCAACCCCACTTGCGCTCGAGTGCGACTTCGCTGTTGCATGTCACTCCTGCTTCAAACGCCCCTTCAGCTTGTTGTATGAGCCTGGGTACACACGTGCCACGTGTAAATGTATATATGTATATATGTATATATACAAACATATGTATATACACATGTATATACATATATACACACACTAGAACCATCGCGCGCTTCGCGCGCGCTCAGGTTCTAGCCCAAGCCGGGAGCGCGCTAGAATATCCTGGACAGCGCTATCAAGCACAGGCGCGTGACATAGTCGTGCCTCCTGAAGGCCTCTTGGGAACCTCTTGGGTCTTCGTGGGGGCATCTGAAGGGCTTCTGGGGGGTTCTCCGTGCTTCCTCAATTGGTTGTTGGAGGCAACTCTTGGGTGCTTCTCGGGGGGGCATCTTGGGGCCCCTTGGGGGCATCGTCAGGGTTCTCCGGGCAGTCAGAAAGTGATGTTCTGCAGTCTGAATCAGTCAATTGGCCGTCTTGGCTGCGTGGAGGCCCAGCTTGAGGCCACATTGGGGCAATCTGGAAGCCTCCCGGGGCCTCCTTGAAGCGATTTTGATGCATCGAGAGCACTGTTCGGCTATCTTGGGGCCCCGTGTACGTCTCCTGTGAGCCTGTAGGGGGCTTTGGGGGGCCTCGTCGGACCACTTGGGGACTCTTGGGGCCTCCTGTGGGCCTCTTAGGGCGGAAAGCTCTGCTGTTGGGTTCGCGTTCCCCTTCTTGGGGCTCTCTTGGGGCCCTCTTGGGCCGTCTTTGGCGCCTCGGGCACCGTCTTGGGGCCCTCGTTGGCCGTCTTGGGGCCCTCTTGGAGGCCTCTTCGGCTATCTTGGGGCGACCGTGGGGGCCACTTGGGCCGTCTTGGAGCGTCGGGATGCCAAAGGCTGGGGGCTCTAAAATCCATCAAAGGCCGATGGGAAAACAATGCTTCTTGGAACCTCTTCGGCCTTCTGGGGAGCTTCTTGAGGGCCTCTTAGGTCCCATTTGGGGGCACTCTGGGGCTTCCTGACAGCCTCTCGGGGTGGAAGGCTCGGATTTTCGGTTCGTCTCACCCCTCTTGGGCCCCCTTGGGGCCGTATTGGTGCCCTCTCGGGCTTTTTTTTTCGCTGCGCGCGAGCAACCAACTACCCGCTTTGGGGAGGGGCCCGCCTGGCCTGGCCTCGCCGAAGCTACTGCGGCGCGCGCGTCGTCAGGCGCGCAGCGCCGGCAATGTGTCGCCGACGCCACGCGCCTTCATCCACGCAGCGTGCCTCCCGGCCCCCTCGACATCCCGGAGCTCGAGAGAGGAGCGCGCCGGAGCCGGCGCGCGCATCGTCAGGCGCGCAGCGCCGGCGCCAGCAATGTGTCGCCGACGCCACGCGCCTTCATCCGCGCGGCGTGCCTCGCGGCCCCCTCGAGTGGCATCCTGGAGCTCGGGAGAGGAGCGCGCCGGAGCCCTCCAGAGGAGGCACCCCGCCGCTGCCAGTCTGCCTTTCGAAGCCGACGGGTCTCCCCGACTCCGCAGGCAACGAAGCAAAAAGTCTAAAAGGTCCTCCGAAGGGTCTCTCCAGGACCTGCTGCATTGCCCAACCCAAAGACGGCGCGGCACAGACGATCCGCTCTTCTCCCTCTTCACCCTCCCTTTCATCCCTTCTCCTCCTCAACGCCCCCCTGCTAAAGCCTAGGGATCCCGCTCAGCGGGTCGCTGCGGCCTGTCGACATCAACCATGCCAAGCAATACGCAGAATTCGTTCAACTTAAAAGCGGCTGGGAGCATTTTTTTCATGCAGAGAAGGATTACACCCGGGATGCCCTGCATACCAAAAACACCGACGACAAGGGAGAAGAGGGCGATGGAGTGCAGAGGAAACGGCAAGCTGAGGGTGGCGCCATTCAACGTGTTTTCGAATACCAGTTCGGCAATTGGAACCGATTTCCACAATATCATCGTGAACATCACGTCGCTGAACGTGTCGTAGCGGCCGATAGCGCTCAGTAAAATAGCTCCAAATGCGAATGCCTCATTCGAGCCGTTGCACCTGACCACCTTCAACACATTTTCTCCGCAGTCCATTATCATGCGTTGGCCCGCCTCGGTGTGGTTGACGATCCACAGCTCGCCCAGGATGCTGACGAAGTTCATCAAGAAGAAGTAGAGGACCGCGGCTTGCGGCACCGACGCGTCGACGCCACCCTTGACGGAGAAGAGCACTGGCAAAAGTGCCATGCCGACCCAATACTTGAGCGAACAGATCACGAGAACCCAGTGGGCTGCAATTGAATGCGTCTCACGGCCTTCTTGTATGAAGGTCATCACGCTGCCCCGGTAGAGCCGGCTGCCTCTCATGCGCCTCCCTCTGCTGCGAGCCATCGGCTGATGCTCCTGACCCTCCAGAAGTAGTGGGTCCTGGTTCTCGATGTCGTCGGAATGCGAGTCGTCCTGATGTGCCGCTTGCACGCGCAGGTCCGCCTTGAGCCCCGACTTCGCTGCCCGACTGCGCGCCATGCATGCCCCGTAGGTGTCCTTCAGCGGGCCAAAGCAGGAGGACGCGAACCCAACGGCCATGGAAGTCATAGTAAAGATCTTCATCGCCAAACTAATGCCGCTCCAATACTTGACGGTGAAGCCCCACTGCACGAAGATGTTCAACAGGTCCTCGAAGAGAAGCCGCACGAAACCTGCGGCCCCCTTGAAGAACAATATGCTGTAATCGCGAATGAGTGCCCGCAATTGTCGTCGTTTCGCTTCCCGTTCATCTTGTCGTCGTTTCGCTTCCTGTTCATCTTGTCGTCGTTTCGCTTCCTGGTCATCTTGTCGTCGTTTCGCTTCCTGTTCATCTTGTCGTCGTTTCGCTTCCTGTTCATCTTCATCGGTATCATAGCCGTAGTCAGTGCAACTTCAGTCTCAGCCGTATTCTATTCAGCAGGCGTCTCATCAAGCTTCACGGGAACAATACTCTCACTGCTTTGGCTTTCTCCGCTCCCTGGGCATCGCTGCCTGTCCGCTGGCGCCCAGCGCGGCGCGCAGCCGCTGCAGCGTTTTCCGAAGCTTACGGCTTGAGCCAGAATGGCTACGGATGCCCTCTCGGGCTGTCTTGGGCCCTGTTGGAGGCCTCTTGGGCTATCTTGGATTGGTCTTGGAGGCCTTTTGGGCTGTCTTGGGGCGTCAGGACGCCAAAAGGGTGAAAACTCTAACATCAATCAAAAACCTAGTTATGGCAAGACATGGATTTTTGCCTCTTGGGGCCTTCGTGGGAGGCCTGTTGGATACTCTTCGGCCCCCTGGGGGGCTTCTTGGGGCCTCTTGGAGCCTGTTAGGAGCTTCTCGGGGCCTCCTGAGAGCCTCTCGGGGTGGAAGACTCGGATTTTCGGTTCGTGTCAACCCTTTTGGCTCCATCTTGGGGCCGTCTTGGGGCCCTCTCGGGCCGCCTTGCGCGCCTCTGGCGCCGTCTTGGGACCCCCGTGGGTTGTCTTGCGACCCTCTTCGAGGCCTCTAGGGATGCCTTGGAGCGGAAATCAAAGCCTCTTGGGCCGTCGTGGAGCGTCAGGAAACTCAAAAGGCGAGAACTCGAAAATCTATCAAATTAGTTGTGCCTCCTGGGGCTCCTTGGGAGCCGTCTTGGAGACCTCTTGGGGCGTCTTGGAGGCCTCTTGGACAGTCAGGGACCAATTCTGGGGTGATCTCGGGGGTCGTTTTCGTTGTCTGGAAACGCCGGGTCCGTCTTCGGGCGACTTTACAAGGCCACCAGCGCCACGGCAGGGCCGCCGGGCCCCCCGGTGCAAGGGCCCCGTCCCGGGCCCCGCCTCGTGCCCGCGGCAGGGCGTCCCTGGGCCGTTTCGGCGCCCTCGTGGGGACCTGTTGGGGCGACATTGGGTGTCTGAAATCCATCAAAAACCTAAGGACAATCAATGATTTTGGCGTCCCTTTGGGCCGTGTTGGAAGCCTTGTGGGCCGTCCGGAGGCCGTCTTGGGCGTGTTCGAACGATATGTCCTCGTTTCGGGGCCTCTTCCGGCCCTTTTTGTCTGTGTTGGGGCTTTCTTGGGCCGTCCGGGGGCGGCCCTGGGCTGTCTCGGCGCCCTCTTGGAAGCCTGTTTGGAAGATTTCTGGGTGTCCTGGACCGTCCTCCTTCAACGTCGGCGGCAGTGGCCGTAAGACTTCCTGGGAACATGATTTGTTGGGGTGTCGTTGGGCGCCTCCAGAGGCTTCGGGGCCTGACGCGTTTCCGAGCGTGGCCGCAGGTAGCGCTGCTTGGGACTCTCGTTTTTTTTTATCCTGGCAAGCGTTTATAAACATGGTTTGGGGAGAGGGCGGCAACCCGAGAATCATGTTCCCGGGAAGCTTTCCGGGAGCATGATTTGTTCGGCTCTCTTAAGAGGGGAGGCTCTGGGGGCTTACCAAGGCGCCCTTTTTGGCCTTGTCGGCAAGCCTACTGGAAACATGGTGGGGCGGTTGGCGGAAGCCCCAGGAATCATGTTCCCGGAAAGCTCTGGGAAATACAATTAACCAACGTCTCTTGGGGGCCCGCAGGGGGCTTCCCTGGGGGGCCCTGGGGGGCTTATTGGGGCGTCTGGGGGGCCTCTTGGGAGCCTCACGGGGCTTCTTGGGAGCCTCTCGATGGCCTCCGGGGGCGTCCTAGGAGCCTCCCAGGCCGGAGACCTTGAAATGTCGCGCTCTTCGGGCCCTCTTGGGTCGCTCTTGGAGCTCTCTTGGGGCGCTCTCGAGGCCCTCTTGAATTATCTGGAGAGCCTCCTGGGCCATCTCTGGTCTTTCCTTGGGAGCCTCTTCGGCCGTCTTGGAGCGATCTGAAGGGCCTCTGACGCCGTCCGGGACCGTGGGAAGGCGGAACATGCGAGAGCGTAAAAATGCGGGGCCCTTTGGAGGGGCCTCTGGAGGCGCTCTTGGGGCGCTTTGGCGGCGCCGTCGGCCGTCCTGAGGCCATCTTTGGCGTGTCCAGGGCATCTGGGGGCTTTCTTGGCAATCTTTAGGGCCCTCTTGGCGTGTCGTGGCGTGTTTGGGAGCGGGCCCAGGCAGTCCCCGGGGGCTGTTGAATGCTAGGTGTTGTCTAAGAGGCGGAGGCTGTTGAGTGCAGGGTGGCGCGTGCTACGCGGAAGGCGGGCGAGCGGCCAGGCGGGCGGCGGGCGGGCGGGTGGCGGGCGGGCGGGCGGGTCGGGATTTGAATGAATTCCTTAAGGGTGCTCTCTTGCAGCGGGAGCTTGTTGAGTACAGGGTGCCTTGAAGACGGGGGCTGTTGACTACAGGATGTTGTCTTGGAGACTGAAGCTGTTGAGTACAGAGTGGTGCGTGCTACGCGGACGGCGGGCGGGCGGCGGGTGCCCTAGGTGGTGGGTCAGAGGCCTCATGGGTGTTGGTTTGGATCTCGTGGCTGGCCTGTCGGGGACGTCGTGAAGGCAGTTTCGCAGCTTCTCGGTAGCCAGTGTGAGACCGTTGTGGGACCTCCTCGGGGCTGTTTTGTGGCCTCTTGAGGCCTTGTTTGGGTCTCCTGGGTGCCTCTCGGGGGCCGGCGGATCCTCGTGGGGTTCGGAGCGCCACCCTTTCAGCCAGTCTCGAGGGATCGGAGCACGCAACAGCGAAGCCCAGCGTTAAACAAACACCCTGCCGCCCAGACTCCCCATCACTAAAAGGCCACCCGATCACACCACATTTGCGCTCCCCGGCGACCCGCCGGCACGAGCGGGAGACCTCCCGGATCGCGCCCACCCCTCCTCCTCCTCCTTCTCCTCCACTTCCTCCTCTTCCTCCTCCTCCTCTTCCTCCTCCTCATCCTCCTCCTCCTCCTCCTCCCCCTCCTCCCTCTCCTCCTCCTCCTCCTCCTCCTCCTCATCCTCCTCCTCCTCCTCCTCCTCCTCCTCCTCCTCCTCCTCCTCCTCCTCCGCTGGTCGCGATCGGGATCATCGCTGCTGGCGGGGGCCGTCCTTTGCGACGACGTCCTTGGAGCCGACGTAGGCGGTGACGGACAGGATGACCACCATGACGGCCATGAAGGACGAAACCTCCGGAGGCAGGAGGGCCAAGACGAGGCCGAGCTGAGTGGAGTGGAAGCCCGAACGGGGCCTCGATCTCGCAGGCACCCTGAGTGTGAAACGGCACGCCGTGGCGCCGACGAGAAAGACAAGGTAGCTGAAGCAATAATTACACGGTGAAGCTGATGATATGGCAGGAAGAGGGGACACACAAACATGTAGAAACCTCCTCGATGGGGTCGGAGTAGGTGGGGTTGGTGGATCGCGCCGCATCGGCGATGCATCGGCGATACATTCGGCGATGCAGCGGCGACGTCGGCGTTGAAGCCAATCGGGCTCCGCATCGAGCCGCCTCGCCGATGCATCGGCGATGCGGCGCGATCTTTAGACCCCACCTACTCCGACCCCATCTAGGAGGCCTAGAACATGCCTGGATCCATATGTGGAGTAAGCGGGGCCCGCTTGCTGGACAAAACTGTGCCAGGATCGCCGATACCCTGGCGCTGGAAAGACACGTGGCCCGGTGTGCACCCAGCTCTCGCCCGGGCCGGCCACGTCGTGTACGCGTCCAGCCCCCCATGGCAGCATCCGAGTACAGGAAGCGCGCGAAGCTCCCGCTGGTGATCGAGAGCGAGAGGGACGAGAGCGCAGACGAGCCGCCACTTGCCGCCGCTCGGACGTCCATCTCCCGTGCATGCTGCAGATTCGTGCGATGATCCAGGCTGCTCTTCGAGGGTCCTCGCCACCAAAAACATGCGCACGCCCGAGCGATGCCAAGGCCAAGCCTGGCGCACGGCGCGCTGCGCCCCCCGGAGGCCGCCGTGCGCCGTGCCCCAGCCGCCCCGCGGCGCACCGCACCGCACCGTGCCACGTACCGTGCGCCACGCCGATCAAGTGAGACACCCAAGTACATATATCCTTCTTCGTTCGCGCCTTGCTGACAGAGTCACTCATATCCGTAAGATTTCTGGCAGGCATCTGTTGGCAGCCATGGATTACAATGGACAAAACCTCTGGGTTATCTGCGTCTACGCTCCACACGCTGGGTACCCCAGGGCTGATTTGGACAGTTTCTATGCTGGACTGCGAACTCTGATGGCGGAACCAACTCGGCAGAAGCGGCACGTGTTTCTGATCGGTGATGTTGATGCTATGCTGCATTGTGGCGTTCGTGGGAACCTGCTATCCAAAGTCGTATCGGAAAACGACCTTTATGCAGCAAATGGGGACGATATGGATTGGGATCTTCAGTGGACAACCAGAAACACCTTGGGACATAAGCGTAAGATCGATTACATATGTTGCTCCTCCTCGCTGAGTTTGTCTGGTTCGACAGCCACGAACGAGCTCGATTGTGGGTCTGACCATCGCGCCGTCTACGCAGCTTTTCTTGTGCCTCTTGCAGGCGCCAGCGGGCGGAAAAATAGATCGTCGACGAAATGGATGGGTTCTCCAGCCTACGAGAAGGAATTGGAAACCACCTTGGATGAAGTTGGGGATTTATCTTGGCATGAACTGCAGGACGCCGTGAGAACGGCCGCACGCGCTTCCGGTGCAGTCGGGGCCCAACTTCAAGACCGCCAGTGGGACACAGCAGAGCTCAAAGACTTGAGGAAACGACGGAAATATTGCACGGACCGCGAGGGGCGTAATTCTTTGTCGAAGGAAATAGCCAAGAAGACGAGGCAAACTTTGAGACGCTGGCGGACACAGCGGCTGCAAGGGCAGTTTACGAAGTTCCAGGACCTCCACCAGCTTCACAAAATAGCCGCCGAACCCAGGCAGCGCAAGACGTCGGTGAAGCCGAAGCCGGAAGATGTTGCAAGAATGCTTGGGGAATTGTATGCTTCAGACCAGCCTCTGACAGACGGGGGGAACGCGATGCTGTTGCGAGAGATAGATATGTTTACAATGGACGATCTAGTTAACGCATTGAAAGTTCTCTCCAAGGGTAAGTGCGCTGACAAGCACGGCGTGGTTCTGGAGATGCTGGCGCAAGGTGGCAGCGCCATCAAGCACATCTTGTTGCGAAGTACAACGACGTGCTACAGGGCGGTCGTTTCCCTCGAGACGGGAGTGAGCTGATCTTTGTGATGCTGCCGAAGAGTGGAGACCTGAGGGACGCGCAGAATTGGCGGCCATTCGAAATCCTCGATGTCGTTTATAAAGAGTTCGTCAAGATGATTCACAAGCGCATCCTTCCTTATCTGGACCCGCAAATCTCAGATGAACAGATGGGTTTCTGGACAGCTTGCGGAACCGACGAAGCATTGATGGCCCTAGAATGCATGACCGGGACATCCTTGGAGTGGCATCTTCCGCTTTGGGTGCTAAGCGTGGACCTGCGCAAGGCTTTCGACACGCTCGAACATAATGGTTTGCTGGGCTCGCTAACTGAACTCGAATTGCCAGACAAGTATTTGTCCTGCTGAAGTTCATATATTCGGACCAGATGGGCATTGTCGACGGCACCACGTTCGCGATCTGCCGCCGAGTCAGACAGGGGGACATTTTAAGCCCGCTTTTGTTCAACGCAGCAACCGAAGTAGTCATGCGCCGGGGGAAGATGCGCTTGCGTGCTGAGCATGGCTTCCAACTTTCCGGCGACGCTGCTGACCAGCTGACGAACGTCCGTTTCGCGGGCGACCTTATACTGTTTGCGAAGTCTTTGTGCGAGGTCGAGGAGATGACTGCGCTGCTTGTGGAGGAGTTTACCAAAGCTGGGCTTGTGGCGAATGGATCCAAAACGAAACTTCTGACGACGGATGCCGCAGTATCCTCTGGACCAACACCCCTGCTCGTGGACATCGAGGGCATGTTCATGGAAGTCATCAAGGCAGATTATTCCCAAACATATTTTGGAAAGTCTTTGCCGGGAGATCTGATTTAGAGGGGGCAGAGAAATATTGATCATCGTCTGTCGTGTGCTTGGATGCGTTTCCATGAGCTGCGCCACACCTTGCTCAACCGCAAGGTTCGGGTCAAATTGCGCCTTCGCTTGTTCGACGCTGTCGTCAACCCAACAGTCTTATACAGCCTATCAACAACTCCGCTTACAGTATCGCAGGATGCGAGCCCCGAGAAGGAGCACCTTGAATGAAAAACACAATGGGCACCCATCAGGGGAGATCCAAGACATCTGTTCGCAACAACAATCCCCCGCCGAATCCCCCTGCCGCGGGCATTGTCAGAAAGTGCACGAGCAGAAGCAGGAGCGACAGCAGTTCGAGAGGGAGGGGAGGGGGAGCGGGAGGGGGAGGAGGGGGAGGAGGAGGGAGAGGAGGAGGAGGAGGAGGAGGAGGAGGAGGTGGTGGAGGAGGAGGAGAAAGAGGAGGAGGAGGAGGAGGAGGAGGAGGAGGAGGAGGAGGAGGAGGAGTGGAGCGGAGCAGCACAGAAGCGGACGCGGCAATGCCCCCGCCGCCCTAGGCCAACCGTGAGGACCATCGCGGTTGGAGTCGGCGCAAGCTCACATTGGAGGCTTACCGCGGCGAAGCGCACAAGAAGGCGGCGCGCGCCACAAAAGGCAGCATCGTCGCCAAGCGCGGCTGACGCGCGGAAAAGGCGAGAGACGTACCCGACACGCGCGCCAGGGGGCGCCACGTGCGCCAAGAGGCAGCAGCTAAGCCGGCAAACCTCTCCACAAGCCCGTTCTGACATTCCGAAGCCTCAGATAATGTCGCGCCGCGCGTGCCGCCCCGATGAGCCACCCGAGGGGCACTACTCCCTCGGGGACAGCCCGCCCCCACGCACGCCACGGCGGGGGACAGTGACCGCGGGAAGAATGGACGGGGATCCTCCGATGAGCCCCCCCCGCAGAGGGGACCCGTGACACCACCCTTGCCCCAGCGGAGTACTGGGAGGGCCACGCAAGGGTGTCGCAGCAAAACGTGGCAGACCCACAACCCAGGCACGGAACAGGAAGGAAAAACCGCGCACTGAAGCCCTGGACTGCCTCCGCCCACCACAAGGACGAGTCGGGCACAGCCCCGAGACCCCAGGCGCAACCCTTCCCCCGTGGCGCAGGCTGGGACGGCCTACGACTACCTTTTTGCTTCTCCCCCAGGGACCCGAAGGAACACCTGGGGTGACGAACGTGAGGCTACCCGCCTGTTTTCCTGGGCAGGGATCCCAGTGGCACAGGTGCTGGGAGGAGGAGGAGGAGGAGGAGGAGGAGGAGGAGGAGGAGGAGGACAAGCCCTTTTGTCGCAGAGGGGCCAGGCCCCTCGGCACACAGGGGCTAGGAGGTCACCTCATTCCGGCAGTTGGATTGAGGCCTCGGGATACGCACGGCGCACAGACGACACCCCCAGGGAGAGTGAGCCAACGGACCATAAAACAAGAACCACTGGGGCTCACAACGGTGGATGTTCGAGCGGCCCGAGATCGCCGGAGCCACGTCTGTCGAAACAAGGCGGGTCACAGCAGGCAGCATAAGCTGAGACGCCGCAGCTCCGTAGCCGCCGCAACCGCGGTGGAAGAATCATACACCTTTCGCCGCCGGGAGCGCTGTTCCCCCCACCCGAGTGGAGGGAGGGGACTTCTCCCTGCATCGTTTTGGGACTATCGTCAATCCTGGCTGGCCTCAGCAGGCCCCCCAAGTAGTCCTGGGCGGTCTCAGCAGGCTTGAGTTTGTTGAGATCGCCCTGGTCGGTTCGGGGGGCCGCCACTTTGCCCGTACATCCGCATGCGATCAGGCGGGCCGCCATTTTGCCCGCAGATCAGCATGTGATCAGACGGTCCGCCGCTCTGCACGCATATCCGCATGCGATCTGGCGGGCCGCCGCTTTGCACGTATATCAGCATGCGATCTGCAGCCTCTCAGCTCGGGAAGCGCTCGCAAGTCCCCACTGTGGCTTCAGATGGACGGGGGGAGAGAAAGGGATTCATCCAGGCGAGGAGCAAATCTCCGCAGCCACGAAGGCTTGTGGCTCGCCGAGCGGTCTCTACTGAAACGCTTCTCCGACTCACCCTAAACTACAGATTCCTCTCATAATTGTCAACCACTGTTTCTACCTACCTGGCCTGCGGATAGTGTCTGTCTTCTTTGGGAGCTGGCGGCCGGAACGCCGATTGCCAAGTTGACGTCGGAGGAACACTCAACACAAAGTTAGACTGAACCTTGGACGGAACCTCATCGCAGACCCCCATGGGCCTCATCCCCCTCAAACTTGGCATCGGCTTGCATGGTGCGGGTGATGCTGGCTATCCTACTGCGCACTGCCCCGTCGGACCTGATGGCAGACGCCTGCCAGCAGGCGCAACAGGCTCCCCCCCCCCGCTCCCCCACACCTTCCGCTGCCTCCCTCCCCTCTCCATCTCCCCCCCACCCCTCCCCCCTCCCCCCTTCCCTCCCTCCCTCCCTCCCCCCTCCCCTCCCCCCTCCCTCCCTCCCTCCCTCCCTCCCTCCCCTCTCCCTCCCCTCTCCCTCCCTCCCTCCCTCCCTCCCTTCCTCCCTCCCCTACATCCTTCCCTCGGGGAGCGCCCGCCGAGGCCGCCCCAAAAAACCCGCCGCGGGGGCGCGTGCGCGAGCCTCGAAGACCTCGGGGAAGTAGGGGAGGGCCACGTTCATGATGTAGATGACGAGCACGGCGGAGGCCTCTCGGGGTGTGGGCGCACGTGGGGAACGAGAGGGGACTGAGAGAGGGAGAGAGAGAGAGAGAGAGAAAGAGAGAGAGAGAGAGACGGGGAGAGAGACGGGGAGAGAGACGGGGAGAGAGAGAGAGAGAGAGAGAGCTGGAGGGGGGCAGGAGGGGCAGTAGGATTCCCTCCCCTCCCGGTTTTGTGCAGACTTGAGCCACAGCATGTTACCACAGGCGCCTCATTGAGAATACGGGCATTCTCCCTCAGAATCCTACGGAACCTCGAAGGGTCAGCCTGAACCCTATGGAACCTCAAAGGGTAGGAGACAACGGATATGTAAGACGCGGAGGGGGCGCGGCCCCGACCACGCAGAGGCTCGGGGATCGAGGATCGAGGCCCGAGGACCAAGGATGGAGGCCGGAGGCTCGAGGCTCGAGGCTCGGGGCTCGAGGCTCGGGGCTCGAGGCTCGGGGTTCGAGGCTCGAGGCTCGACCTGCAGAGGCCCGAAAGCACCGAGTCCGAGGCGGCGTTACCCTTTCTCGGCGGCGGCCCATGGGGGGGAGCAAGAGAGAGAGCGCCTCCTCGGAAGGCTGGGAACCCAGCCTCCTGGGAAGCCTTCTAAGCCTTCTCCGAAGCTGCGAAGGGCTTCCCAGAAGACCGGGCAGCTTCTGAGGAACCCCGCCGCCTGCTGGCCTGCTGAGAAGGCCTGCCCGTAGGTCGGGCATGTCCTCCTATAGGCGGATATTGGAATACTAATGAATCAATCACAATCCAAAGATAACCAAACAATGCGCAACAAAAACGAGCACGACAAATCGTCACCATAATATGATTTTACCATTCTTGAATATTCCTCCTGTAGAGGGACATGCCCGACTTAAGCCTACCTCCTCCCACGTCCCCCCTCGGCGCGCCGTCGTCTTTCGACCCCCCGAGGCTTGGTTTTGGACCCCCTGGGCCGACGACAAGCCGCGCTCCCAGGGATAGGGTCAAGCAAGAGTGGAGGGGCAAGGGGGGAAGGAACGGGAAGGAGGATGAGGAGGAGGGATGATGATGCTGATGATGATGATGATGAGGAGGAGGAGGAGCAGGATGAGGAGGTGGAGGAGGAGGAGGAGGAGGAGAAAAGAGGATGTGGGATGGGAGGCGATGGGATAGAAGGGCGGGCGGGGGGGGGCAGGGACGCGGCGCGGCGAGGGCAGAGTGGGGCGGGAGGACGACTGCGACGCACGGGGGAGCAGGACGGCGGTATGCTGGCCAGCAACCCCGATCGTCGCCGCCATCGCCGTCGTCGTCGTCGCGCCGACGCCGTCGCGGCCCGCATCGTCGGCTATCACAGAAGAACAAAAAACTGCATACACCTCAACTGTTGGAGCTCCGCGCGGATTTCTCGGATCTGCGCTGGACTCCCTCCCTGGCGCGCGGAGTCTGCCAAGGGCGGCGCCATATTCTCCGCCGCCAGGGGGGGGGTGCAGCGCAGATCCAAGAAATCCGCGCGGAGCTCGGACAATTTTATGCGTATGCCTTTTCCTGTTTTTTCTGATTGGGGAAACCAAGAGGTACCCATACCGCTACTCCACAAACCTCTCCCGGGGTGCGGTCTGGCCAGGACTTCGAGGCGATTCCAGCGGGGGCGGCGAGAATCTCCCAGAAGGTCCAGGAGGCCCAGAAGGTCGTCGCCGTCGCCGCCATCGTCGCCGACACCGTCGCCTCCCCGATGTTCTTGAGCACGGAGTCCAGCAATGACAGGATGGCCTGCGGTGGCGGGCCGCACGCGCCTACGGAGCCACGCTCTGCCGCGCGTTCCTCCTCCTCCTTCTCCTCCTCCTCCTCCTCCTCCTCCTCCTCCTCCTCCTCCTCCTCCTCCCCCTCCTCCTCCTCCCCCTCCTCCTCCACCTCCCCCTCGGGCGCAGGTGCATGAGCGTCATGCACACGCCCCCTCGTGTCGGCGGCGACAATAGGGGCGAGCCCAGGGGCGGGCATGACACGCATTCGCCCGGGAGCCCCGCCGAAGACATGGACCATCAGCGCCCCTGGATGCACGTATTGCTTCTCCCCTCGGGCTAGTTGCCCCCATCGTCGCCTCCGCTCGTGTACGGGTCGTTGCCGGCCTTGCGCATGACCCCCCACGGGCAGGGACCGGGGGAGGGAGACGAAATGCAAGGGAGCGGGGACGCAGGACCCTCCAGCATCCCCTCTCCCTCATCTCCCTCTTCCTACCCGCTCCTCTCCCTCGTCCTTTGCCGCACCCCTCGTCATCTGCCTCCTCCTCCTCCTCCTCCTCCTAATCATCCTCATCCTCATCCTCATCCTCATCCTCATCCTCATCCTCCTCATCATCATCATCATCATCATCATCATCATCAGCAGCAGCAGCAGCAGCATCATCAGCATCAGCATCAGCATCAGCATCATCTTCATCATCAGCAGCATCATCATCATCAGCATCATCATCATCAGCAGCATCGTCATCAGCATCGTCATCGTCATCATCATCAGCATCATCAGCATCACCAGCATCACCAGCATCAGCATCAGCATCGTCGGCATCATCATCATCGTCCTTCTCTCCATAGCTACTCTGGCTCAAGGTGACGAGTTGCATTGCGAACAACATGGATGCCGCTGGTCCGCGGATTGTTTCGAAGAAATTGTGTGAGCTCCTGCTGGGCAACTACTCGTGCGGGCGCCTGCTGGAGCAAACCTAAGACGAGCCAACAATAAAACCGCTTGCAATGGCTGTAGGAATTGGTGCTGCAACTGGCGTCCCAATCGCCAGGAGGGCATGTGCGGCGCCTGTGGCAAGAAGCAAACGCGGTGGACGACGACATCATCGGGCTCATGGTGGGCTCCGTGGTTGTCGACTCAACCGTCATCTGTGCCACCCTCTTCGTGGCCGCCGCGTCCGTCCTCTGGCGACAACTTGCTCGAGCAAGCCTTGTCGATCGCGCTACGTCGTGGAGGCCTGGACCCTAAGGGGGAGAAGGCTGACAGTCTTATGCAGCGGGCGTCGCAGCTTCTCGAGGGTAAGAAACCCAAACCGCCACCTAAGACAGTTTACCAGGTGATGCAGGAGGTGACTTCCAAGTGCACCAAGAAGCAGGCGGTGCTTGGGACGGTGTCAAAGGCGTTGATGCATGTGGAGGCGGCCCTCCAGCGTGCGCAGCAAGCCAAGAAGGAGGCAGCGGAAGCCATGCACCAAGCTGACTGCGCCGCCAGAAGGCATAGGAGGCCATGCTGGATCACGTGCTGTCGCCTGAAGCGGATGAATCTGTCGCGTTCAAGACTAAATTTGTACTCGTCAAATTTGTGGAGGATTTCAAAGCCGAGGACAAGAATAAGCTCGAGACCTTCCGCAACCAGCTGCAGGAAGTTGCGAGGAATGCGCAGCGGTCTCCTTATGCCAAAGAAGAAAAGACGCGCCGATGGTGAAGCCAACGCGACCGAGAGAACTGAAGATGAGCCAAAGCCCGGGAGCCCCCTGAGGCTGGCACAGCGGCAGTTGCAGCGGCTGCGCCCTCAGCTCCCTCTCGCGGCAAGGGGTGAGGAGGAGGAGGAGGAGGAGGAGGAGGAGGAGGAGGAGGAAGAGAGCAGGGGCTCAGTGGGGCAGATGCAGCGGTCTGCGGCTGATGCGGCGCGCATGACTGAGCGCGGTGGGTCTGCTGCTGCTGCTGCGCAGCGGCGCCCGTGACTTTCCCGACATAGTGAGCCAGTTTGACAAGGACAGGTGGATAATGGCGTCGACGGCGGCCAGCTCACCTGGCAAACCAGAAGGACGCTCTGTCGGGAGGGGAGCGGGTGCTACCTGCAAACTCGCAGGGGCATTACCGCGGCTATCCGGATGGGGAGGCAGGACCCTCGTCAGGGATTCTGCCCTGTGACACTGCACGCCAAGGCTTGCAATCTTGTAGTTATCAGCTCATGCCTCCAGCCAGGACTGGGCGTGCGTGGATGGAATTTTGTTGCGCTGGTGGCCCTGGGAGCGTCAAGCATGGCTCTGGCTGACCCTCGGGTTCTTGTAGCTGACTGGAAGATTGAAGCCCAGCTCTTCCAGGCATCGGGCTGGCCTGGTCAGTTGCGAACACGCGCTTGCGCCCCAGATTGCTCAGTGACGTACGACAAAAGGGATCGGGCGAATGCATGATTGCGTCATTGTCAGCTAGCGATTCCTACAGGTCTGTCTAAACCCAATCCTCGACGCCCCCTGGAAGACTCATTGTACGTCATATGTCGCCCTTGTGCCACCCAGGGAGATGCACTTCCGCGGGCCCCAGGGCGCCCGATGCTCGACCGGCCCCTGCGCGGCCCCAGGCGACCGCCGACTCAGACGTCAGACGCTCAAGGGCGAATGGGGGCTCGCAAGCTGCGGCGGCCCGCCGACTGGAGGCTGGTCGCGGCAAGCTCCCATGAGGAATTAGTTGCGCCTGTGATGGAGCAAACGTCTTCGGCCCAATCCAGGCCCGTCCGCACTCCGTTTGAGACGCGGTGTCTGGCGCAGGACCAGATCTTGACGGAGGGGGCCACTGCGCGACGGCCCCCTCAGTCGATGACTTGGAGTAACTACCAAGCCATCGGGACCGAACCCACCGCGTCCCCCCGACGGTGGAGCCTGCGTCTCCGGCGACTTCTACGACGGCAATGGGGGGCGGGGGCGGGCCCCGTGTGGGTCGGACGCCGACGGCTTAGAGACCGCTCCACGTCGGGCGCTGCGGGGCCAGGACGGGCCAGGACTGCCGACGGGCGGTGCGTGCCGAGGCCCAGGGTCCAGCTGCCAGGCTCGTAGGTCCCACGCCGATTCAAACTCCGGGGACACTGGGGACTCTGATCGCAATCTCTCTAAACTCTTCGGTGACGGGCGGCGCGGGTTGAAACGTGGAGCCGTGCCACGTCCCGAGGACGCCGCCTATGGGGGACACATCGGGTTCGAAGTCGCCGCGTGGACCTGGGCCACATCGTGAGGGGGGCCCTATGGGGGGAACACTTCAGGCTCACAGTCGCCGCGCGCTGGATGCGAGGGTCGCCCCATGACATATCATACTGCCGCCACCTCGAGCGTTTCACGGTCGCTGGATGGGCATTTCCAACCACAAACGTCGGCGGAGGGGGCGCCATGGAGGCCCCGCCGCCACCGTCAGTCGAAGCCCCCGGGAGCGCGGGGGCCCGGGACCTCAGGAACATCGGTTGCGCCCAACTCGCGAATTTAACGGACTACTGCATTGGGTGTGTCAGATATTTCCACGGGCATGTCCAAGAATGTTTCCATGAGTGTTTCCATGCTGGATGGGGAGATGGACCCCTTTGAGGCTCTGGGCGTAGAACCCCAGCTTGGAATTGGACTGGACGCTGCATTGGACCGGATGCTGCTGACTCTGCCGACGCGAGCCCGCCAATGGAGGGCCAAGTTGGAGGTGCATCCGCTCAACATGATCGGCTTCATTGTGTCTGCCCAGAGTAACTCGGACAACCACTTCGTCTTTCGATGGGGGTGGCAGGTGCGCCAGCTGGTGGATTATGATTACAGCAAGTGGGATTCGACTCTGGAACGCACCCCTCTCATTCATCAAGGGGCCCCGAATGACAAGTGGCAGCAACGCTCGGATAGATGGGAGGGCCATCAGCGCAAGTGGGCAAAGATGCACGCTACCCCAGGACGAACCTACACGCGTGACCCACCAGCAGAATGGTGGGCCATTGTCAGAGCATTCGATATCAGGCATTTGCCACTACGCAGCAACGGGTCAGATATTGCTCAGGCTCAATCACACGCGCAAGAACTGCCACGCGGGGTACCCCAGCTGGGGGGCCCCGACCTTCCGATAGCGAGAAGACATCCAATGGCGACATCTTCATGTGGTTGGGCTTGGTGTCCAACCTTCACCTGGCCCGGCTGGAGGACCTCCCCGTGCTTGTTGACGGGGCCAGGTGCTGGACTGACGCGTTTTCGTCCAGGAGCCCCGCAGGTGCAAGGTCGGCTTTTTTGAAATGGGTCAAGGACTCGTGGTCCAAAGCTCGTGGACTGGTTCGTCGACATGCGAAGGGCAACGCGCCAGTGGGGTCGGGCGGTCTTGATCCTGAAGGCCACCCTACACTCACCCCCCCGCTTCTCATCGACGCCAGGGGACTGGAGTGGGAAGGCCGTTGTGCGGGCCCTGTGGACACCCCGCAAGGCATTGTGTAAATCATGGACCGGTGCCGCCAGGCAGCGCGCGGGGCCCTCTACCCCCCTCAAACTTTCAGACTTGGACGCGGACTTGCCTGAGATGGCCGCCAAGAAAGCACGTGGAGTCGCTTATCTTGGACCTCGGGTCATCCCGCGTCAACCAGAAGCAGCTCGGCAAGCGCTGGTCAGACATCTTAACATAGTGGAAGCCGCGGGGACTTGACAGACCCCTCTGCTGACTACCCTCGGCGCGTCCAATCCGACGGGGGCAGGAGGTGATCGCGCGCGCGGTTTGTTGCGTGCTACGCCCGAAGCTTGGAGCAAACTGAGGGCTGCGGATTCGGCTTAGTGGTCTCGCTCCTCCGAGGCGTTCTGGGACGCGGCCAATACTGGGTCGTCGGCGCTGCGAGCAGCGCCGGCGCGAGCAGTGCTTGGCGAGAGCCATTGCCCCCTGGAGTTCGACCGCGCGACTTCGTTCTTGGACTTCGCAAAGTCTACGACACAATGAGCTTCGCGCTGCCTCTGCAGGCCAGGGTCGCTGCGGGTTCCCCGCTGTCATATTGCTCCTCGAAGCCGACGTGTATGCGCCGCAGCGCTCGCTGAGACGAGGTGGAATGATGTCGCGTGACACGGTGATGTTTCGGTCTATCGTGGCAGGGTACCCTCAGGGGGTGCCAGCTGCAAACGTCATCATCCACGGGATACCCGAGCACGCTCGCCGCGCCGTTCCTCCCGCTGGCCACGGGGCGCTCGTCGGCCGCGCGGTCGGAGGCGCAGGGGGCAAGTGCCGACAGGGGGTGAACGACGTGACGAGGCTTGATAAAGCAATGGTGGATGGGTTCACTACTGCCAGGTCTAAAATCCCCGGCGAAACGAAGTCGGGAGCATCCGGTGACGGTCTCGGGGGAGAGCTCGAGGCTGAGCTCAGACAACTCAAGATCCTGTAGTAGAGCTCGTTGCCTCAACTATTGATCAAGGCACGGGCGCTGCTGGGGGCAGGAGCAGGACTAGAGACGACGCAAGATGACTAAGCCCAGATTCCGTTCGCGGCGCAGGCAGAGCAAGATCATGAGGGCGCGCGCCCACCCAGGCAGAAGGTCAATCAGAAAGAACTCACGGGCCGCAGGCAAGTGCCGTTCAGCCACTTTCGGCCATCAGCCGTCGGGCCCTGCTCCCTCCGAAGTCCTGGACCTCAGACGTGGCGCCACAGCGGCTGCGGCAGGCTCTTGGAGAGGGCGCTGCCTTACATCGGAGCTGCAGGCCACAGTGGGCGCGGCAGGTCCTGGCATTGACCTACGCACTCGGGTGGCGCAAGAATGGGTTGCGTTCTGGTTGGCGCAGCCAGGTCTACAGGCACGCGCTCGCCAAGCTTGGCACCATGTTCGGGGTGTCTTCCCTCAGCGTGCCAACAAGCAGGATGGGAACCTCGTGGCCTGCATGTCTGGCTCCGCATGGGCATTGATGGCCCTGAGGAGCGGGGGGCCCCTTGCTTCGGCGACCCTGGCATCGGAGCAGTTGTCCTGGGCGATTTCAGCGACCTTCTCGGGGATTTCGCGGTTGACTGTAACATGACTCAGTTGAAGGAAGCAGCACAGCACTAAACAGGACGCGACCTCGGAGCTGGCGCTGACATGACTATGATGTCTCGTGGGTTCGGCCGCTATGCAAAACGCGGTGAGATGGATCCCATGTCTGCCAACTTATCGATTGCGGCAGGTGGGCAATCATGGCTGCGGGAGCGTCGGCGCGCTGGAAGGCGCGTCTGCCCCGAGATTCGCGGGCGCTGCCGCCGCGAGCCAGACACTTTAGTGCATCGAGTTTAGACGCATGCTGCCAACTGCGGCCACGAGGATTTGTCTCCCACGGAACCTCTGCCTCCGCAAGCCTTGGCCGCCAGGGAAGGACCTCGAGGTGCCCGAGTTTTGTGAGAGCCCTGAGTGAGGCCAAGAGGTACTTCTGGGGGATGTCAGGCTCCTGGACCGCTGCGGGGTCCTCGACGGCTGCCCGCTCTGTGTTCGGAGACGGCTCGGGAGGGGGGCCCAGCCCGCACCCCGGGCACCGCGGGCGCGGAGCCGGTGCTGTTTGCATGTCCCAGGAGTCTGATTCGACCCTCCTCTGGTGCCCCCTCTGCGGCGTGGCGGCGGCCTTAGTGGGCCAGCGCGCCAGACTGTGTCACGCGCAGAAGTGCTCGCGTTCTGCCTGGCCTCGGCACGCGCGCGGGCCGCCAGAGTATGCTGCGCACTGAAAATCGTTAGTTTCATACCGGAACCCTGGCAGGGCGCGAGGTCCGCGGGGCGCGAACGGCGACCCCGCGCACGGATCGGTCTGGCGCTGGGGTCCCGCGGCGCTGCCGGGGTCTGGGCCCTGTGGGCGGGACCCCTGCGTGGGAGGGGATCCGGCCGGGGTCGGGGCCGGGTGGGAAGCCCTTCTCTGCTGCGGTGATGCTTGCATTTGGGCGGGCTGTGCTGCCGGGTGGTCTTGGGATTTTCGTGTTGCGCGGCGTCCTGCCCGAACGGGTCTGTGCGGCGCCGCTGCGGCGATTCCCCGGAGGGGGGCTCGCCGTGCGTTGCTGAAATCTCGGGGGGGGTCGAGCCGTGGTTTTTTCCTGGCCCGGCGAATTAACAAAATGCCCTTCGCTCGGGGGGGTGTGGCCCTTCGCTCGGGGGGGTGGGAGGCGTGCATTGATGTGTGCAGTCGGCGGCGGGCGGGGGGCGGGTGGGGTGACTGATGTGGTGTCGGGGCGCGTGCGTGCATTTCAGGAGAATCCTTTTTCTCCCTCTCAGTGGGAGGAGGGGAGCCCTCCCCTGCTGCTGCTGCAGCTGCCTTTGAACCAGACATCCGCCGATCTGCCTGTTTTCTTCACTCCGCGGCCCCAGGAAGGCCCGACCGCTCCCCCCCGAGGGTATTTCTCCGGCATTCGTATGCGATGGCCCCCAGGGCCCGAAAACGGCCGCCCTGGGCCGAAACATCCCAGATAAGAGCCAGGCAGTCAAACACCATGCAGCTTGGCACGAAGGAAGGCCCTCACGGCCACGGGTCCTGGACCGGCCCCCCGGGGGACCAGCTCTTCGTACTGGGTCGTTCTTGGTTCGATGGTCCTTGCTCCCGCGGAGGGCCCCAGGCGCCCGACAACGGCGACAGACCCCAGGGCCCGTTTGACCTCGGGACCAGCTTTCTTCGCTTGCTTCATGTCGGAGATCAAGAGAGAAGCCTTTCGGAAAACGCCCCGCAGCGAAAGCCGCCAGGGGCACCCCCACGCGCGCAAGGCGCCGCGTTCGAAGGCGAACCCCAGCGGAAACAATCGAATCTGTCCAGCGAAACGAACGTCGATTAGCGAAACCGGCCGGGGAACGCACCCGTCTGCCAATGTCGAGTGAACCTGTGCAGATGTCCTCAATCGACGTGTCTGGGTGGGTGTTCTCTCAATGCCCGATCGTGGCGACGGATAAAGTCTAGCTACAAGAAATATGGGGACATACTCGACGCCGGCTTTTGGGCCTCCTCAGGTGCTCCAATGGTGGTTTCCAAGGGCCACCGGGGGATAAGACATATCCGTGGGGCACCTGCACGCAGTCCCGTGTTTTACTGGATGTGCCCAATGTATCTGAGATCGTTGGACCCAGACATCCAACGTCTCCATCTTGCGAGACACGGCCCCCCGACCTCTCTACCACTTCTCCGGGACCCGTTGTTCAGCCCGGATTGTCTTTTCACGCTCCTCTTCTGGGACCTGGTACGGGCCCCGGAAAAGCCGAAAACGATGAACAACCTTCGGCTCGCAGACGGAGAAGCCGAAGACGAAAACGGAGAAGAACAAAGACGGCATAAACAAAAACTTTCGGAGGTGCGCGCGGATGTCTTGGGTCTGCGCTGGGCCCCCCTCCCTGGCGCGCAGAGCGCGCCAAGTGCGGCGCACAGGAGGCGGCGTGGGAGGCGCCGCCAGGGGGGACCCAACGCAGATCCAAGGCACCCGCGCGGACCACGTTCACGCAGCCGCGTCTTCGTCCCCATTGTCTCGAGACGCCACACGCTGAGGAAATCAGGGGATACTGCTACCGCCACTCCCCAGAACTCTCCCAGGGCGCGCTCTGACCGGAAGAACGAGGCAAAGCCGACTGTGGCGACGAGGGCCCTCCCAGGAGGGCGGAACAAAAGGGGGGAACAGGCGAAGGGCAGCGGTGTGGGTGCCCCCTTCCCCCTCCGGGCCATGGTGCTCCAGCACTTGACGGTGAAGGAGGCGAACACGCCCCAGACGGCCGGGGTCCAGCCCTTGAAGAAGCCCTCCTGGGAGGCGCGGGGGGGCCCCCGGCCGAGCTGCGCGGGCCCTCCCTGCTGCTCCCTGCGCCTCTCGCGCCTCCTGCTCCCTCCTCCTTCGACTCGGGCGCTGCTCATTGGGGGGGGGGCGATGCATGATCCCGGGCCGAGAATCCACAGGCCCCACCCCTCCCCCCCCAAGATGGGGTGGGTCCCAGGTTTCCAGAGCTCCCCCTCCCCGGATGGGAAGAGGGAGCGGGGAGGAGCACGAGGAGTGGCGACAGCACGAGCGAGGCAGCGAGGAGGCGGAGGAGGAGGCGGTGGAGGAGGAGGAGGAGGAGGAGGAGCAGGAGGAGGAGGAGGAGAACCTCCCACCTCCCCTCTCTTCCCGCCGATGGGAATGGGGGGGCGACGACACCGACGCGGACGCCGACGCCGGGGGGGAGGGCAATAAACAAGAGGGGGGGAGACACGTGCACCTTTCGAGCCCCTTTTGGGCCCCAGAAGGACCGGGTACAACAAGGGTGTATGTTTGTTCGAGCTCCCTTGATCGCCCACCCATTGAGCAGAGCCTGGCTGACCCTCCTCCCTCACCTTGCCATGCCAATGTTCACCCCTCGACCCCTGAGGGCCGAGGACGGAGGTCTTTGGACGTGTTTGGCCCCTGCCAGGCTCTCAGATGTTTCAACCACGTCTGTTCTTCGATCTCGGTCCTGGGGGACCGTTGTCGAGTCCAGGGGCAATCAAACCTGGATCCAGGAAGAACGAATGCGCTAGGAATCGCAGATTGAACATCAAATCAAATCTGCGGATGTCAAGGTCGGGGGCAGCAGCAGCGGAGGAGGGCCCTTCTCCTCCCCGCTAAGAGGGAGGAGACTCTGGAACCCCGATATGACCCGATTCACCGCAACCTCACTGAGGACTGCCTCGCTTCATCTGGTCACGTTCAGCTCGGCTGAGGACGCTGGGCCAGAACCCAACATGCATGACTCCTACAGATTATGTGCCTGTCGGGGTGGGAATCAGAGAAGGGTCACCGCCGAAATTGCCCAGCAACTGTGTGATATCGTTCGTTCTGAAACCCCTGGGTGCGGAGGGCCTTGGTGGTCGAGTTGGAACGCCTACCACATCTCTCCCCCGAACAGTCAACCACATGCCTGGGGGGACAACGGCACACACAACTGGGCTAGGTGGTCGGGCTGGAACCCTCTGCTTTTGACTGAGCGCTCTGGGGCGCTCGGGGCGTGCACTCGCTCTGTAAAGTTTCCCACGGCGTCTCGGAGGAACCGCACTCTGGCAGTGCACGCTTCTGCTCCGTTGATGGATACTGCTGCCCGAGTGCTGCAGGGACGCGGTCGTGCAATGCGGCGTCACCTGCTCGCTCATCGGCTGCTGCCTTTCCATACGCAGGGGTGCTGGCGATTGTCCCTTCACCAAGATCGTGCGCTGCCTGATGGGATCGAAAACACGTGCGAAAAATATCACCCTGCCGTGCCCGCGCGGCCAATCGTACACGACACCTCAAGCCTGCGTCTGCTCCCTCGGGCACGCCAACGCGCCCCCTGTGAAACTTGCGCTTGCAGGAAGAGAGGGGCGGCATAGGACGAGGAGGGCGGCAGAAGAAAAGCCATGGAACCATGGAAAACAGAGAAGCGAACCCCGCGCTAGGAGGACTGCCTCACACAGAGTACCGCCTGATGGCACAACGGGCCGCCCTCCGCCCCCACACGGGGAGACCTCCCTCCTCACGTGCAGGGGAGGCCGTAGAGGAAGGGGACCTCGCCCCGCCCCCCTCCACATCGCTGCCCTCCACTCGGCCCCTCCCAGGGTGATCCCCTGAACACGTGTGATAAAAAACTGAACAAGTGTGACCAAAGAAACTGTGATACAAAACTGTGATAAAAAAACGGTGATAAAAACTGTGATAAAAAACTGTGATCACATATTTGTTTCTGACAGTCCTCCTCTTTCCTTCTTCCCCCTCCTCCTGAGATCGGCGCGCTGATTCGGCCTTCGGGCCGAAATGAACCCTCTTTGGACTATATGGCCCTGGCTCGCCTTCGCGGGCGGCCAGGTTGCAATTGAATCGATCTCGAGTCCGGCCGTTCCCACGAGACCCCCGGGAGGCCCACGCGAGGCCCACAAGAAGCCCCCCCTGGAGGCCTCAAAACTGCCTCAGGGAGGCCCCCGAGAGGCCCGAGGAGATCCCAACGAATATCCAAGAGGCCTCAGACCCGCAGTCCAGGCACGGCGGCGGGATGGGCCGAAGGCCGTTCAATTCGCCGCCCCCTGTTGATTCATCACAAGGGTGCCTCGCGTGCTAAACCCTTCCGGTTTTGGCTCTGGTTCCTTTCCAAAAGAACTCCCCCTGGGGCTGTGGCTGTGGCCCGACCCGCCGGCCACCCGAAAAGATTGCCCAGGACCTCAATCTCCCCAAAAAATCCTCCAAGACGGCTCAAGATGGCCTCCAAGATGGCCACGTTGGCCCAAGATGGCCTCCAAGATGGCCTCCAAGGCCGCCCAAGAGAATCCAAGATACCTCCAAGATGGTCCAAGACGGCCTCCAAGACGGCCCAAGAGAGTCCAAGATACCTCCAGCGTCGCCCGAGAAGCCTCCAAGACGGCCCAACACGACCCAAAAGGCCTCCAAGAGGTCCTCCAGGAGGGCCCGAAGATGCCAAAATCATTGATTGTCGTAAGGTTTTTGAAGGATTTTGGCATTTGCTTCTTCTCGGCATTCCGACGGCTGAAGACGGCCCAAGAGGCCCCCAAGATCGCCCCAAGATCACCCACGAGGCCTCCAAGATGGCCCCATGAGAGCCCCAAGACGGGCCAAGAGGCCTCCAAGACGCCCAAGATGGCCTCCAAGACGGCCCCGAAGCGCCCCAAGAGGGCCCCAAGTCGGTTCAGAGAGGCCCCCAAGACGGCTCCCGACGGCGCCAGACGGGCCAGGAACGCCTAAGACGGCCAAAGAGGCCCCGAGAGGCCCTCAAGAGGCTCCAAGAGAGCCCAAGATAGCACCAACATGGCCTCCAAGACGGTCCCAAGATGGCCCAATCGAGCCCAAGAGTGCCTCAAGAGGCTCCGATGAGGCATCTTCTCCCTTCTCCTTTGTCCTCCTTCTCCTCCTCTTCCTCTTCTTCCCCCACGTGTTCCCCGAAGGCTTTCCAAACCGACGCGGGGAACACATAGTCCGATAGCTTGACAGGCCTCTGGCCACAACGTTCGGCCACACAGGCGCTTCCGAAAGGGCAGGGGGCGGCGGTGATTCGCCGTAGGCGTGTTCGATAGATTGATAGAACTATTTGTATATTCAAATGTATACATACAACATATTATAGAGACAGTGAGTTCGATCTGGAGATCGACAGACCGATCGAACTATCGACACACCTACGTTGATAGTGACATCGGCGTACAGATAGCGACGCCGATCGACAATGAGACCCGCAGGGGTTGATCGGTGGATGAAGGTGGTTGTCCCGGTGGTTGTCCCGGCGCCGATTCCAACCCCAAACCTCCTTATGAGCACTCGGTGGCCTAATAAGTATATGTATCTATGTGTGATATTTGTGCCCTCTCATAAGACCACCATTCGGCTGGCAAGGATAGGTTTGTCGGGTGGTTGCGTTATCTTTGATTTGTACTGGACGCACGAGTTAACTCACGCTGGACACACATCGCGAAATCAATATTGGATTACACCTACATACATGCAAATATGAACATGTGTAGATCTCTAGATTGGTCTGTATATCTCTCTGGCAGTCGATTTACCAAGATGTCGTATTGTCTCTCCATATCTCTGGGTAGTTGTACCTACACATGTACCGCTGTCCATATGTCATGTCTGTAGCGTCAACAGATCGGTATCACTATGTGTTGGTCTCACTATATGTTTGCCGATCTACCTATCAACTCATCTGGCAATCTCACTATCCATCGAACGGGACCGGCACCAGGATAACCATCTGGACAGCTGGTCGATCGGTCCATCTATCGACCCAGCTGTCTATCGATGTACTTGTCTATGCACATGCACTGGCAATGCCACATGCACTAGGCAAACCTGGAAACACCTGAGGGCCAGCCTGCGATAGGCGAGCGAACACGCGAGACCTTGGCCAAGGCAAATAAACTAAACCGGGCGTAGCCTCGGCAACGTAGCAAGGCTGACCTACGCATGTGGCCTAGACACGGAAACCAGACCCCGTGCCTCACCGCCAGGAGTCGCAAGGTAGGCTCGCACGTCCCAGGGGACTCAAGCGGATGAGTAAAAGGCAAACACTCTATGTGGACATCCCCGATGGCCCTGCCAATCATCTAATTAACATTTGTTTGCTTCCGTCGGCGGCGAGGCAGAGGCAGTCCGCTCCAGGGTGTGGCGCAATCTATATACCACACAACGGACGAGGAGAGGAGGAGGAGGAGGACGAGGAGGAGGAAGGACAGTCGAAAGGCGGGAGGGAGCAGGGAGGAGAAGGGGGGCAAGAAATCAATCCACGCAAGCGGCCGAAACTCTCGCAGGTACACTCCGCAACTATGTACGGCGAGCGAGGCTCGCCAAGGTGCACCCCAGCACACGGGCGCGTACGCGGGGAAGGGAGGGAAGAACGAACGAACGAACGAACAAACGAACGACCACCACGAACAGACGAACGAACGAACAAAAGAGGGAAGAGGGGGGCGTGGACAAGTGGAGAAAAGAACGAGAAGCTCGCGCGTGCCCAAACCAGCCTTCAGCCAGCTTTTCGCACGGGGTCCCCGAACGAGCGGACAAGAAGGGCAAAGCAGGCCTGTGAGAGGTTCTGGCAGGGCGTGCGCAGCAATGCCTGCCCGAGCCCTGCCGCGCAGGGGCAGGCAGGGCAAGGTGCGCATGCGGAAAGTATATATATATATATATATTATATATATCCCTGTCTCTCCACCGATTTCGTCTATTGACCTCCCTGCCTCACGATCAATGTCATGTCTTTGCCCCGCAGGATGCGCGCGTTTCTGGAGTATGGACATGCCGAGCGCAGTGATAG